AGACTTTTTTTCAGCCAGGGAGCCTAGACAGGTCTCTGTGACAGTGGGTGCCTTGTAACTTCATTCCAAATCCCTTTCCTAGTCTTCCGCCAGCTCCTTACAAGGACTGTTATCTGTTTATGTGGCACTCTCCATCCAAGCAGCATCTAGGGCTGTACGCACAGTTCCTGTCAACTTTCTCATTCTCTAAATCAAATGCAATAACAGAAGATATTTTTCCCTAAAGCAGACTTCTCTTTCTGCTTTATAATAGAAATCAATCATTCTCTTATCAGTAGCAACCTGTCATGTTAATTACATTCAGACATGTACCATCAAAAATGAAATTGAATTTGAAAGGTTTTACTTGATATCATTATGTAAGAAGTTATTCCAAAATTTATAAATGAAGCTAGAAAAGACACAGTATTAAATTTTTACTACATGTGCATGTGTGTGTAGGTGTACGTGACAGCACACACACCTACACACACACACACACACACACAGACACACACACACACACACACACACACACATCTATATACTATAGGCAGCTATGGTATGAAATGCTATCATACATGATTAAGTCATAACAGTGTCATTTTCCAAAATAATGGAAACCACAAACCTTTAGTTGTTCGTCCACAACTCTTGTAACTTCTCCAGCCATTGATTCCAGGGTCTCCTGAATTGGACTTGATAACAAGCCACTGGCTCCTGCCCAAGACGCACCACCAACATGGTATAAATTTGGTAACAACTATAAGAAAAATAATTAAATAAATATTTAAATAAGCACCAAAGTCCTTGCAGAATTAGTAAAATGGGTGGAGAAATATTATTAGGGACAATCTATTCTTGACCAAAGATCCTTTATACAGATTAGTAAACTGAGGTCCAGTTTTGAAACCATAGGAACAGTATACGACCTGTTTGTGCCATGTCCTCATCTGGGGTGTGCGAGTACGTGACTAATCCCCAAAGTTCCTTCTACTTATGACATTCATTTGAGTGTGTGATTCTAACAGCAGAGCCAGGACCAGATTCTAGTTAGTCCTTTCTCTATTAAGTCAAAGTTTGGGGACCAAATTCTAATTTGAGAGAAACCTTTTTTTTAAGAGGTGACAGATGGGAAGTGTCATGCTATCAGCCTGTAAGTGGAATAATGTTACATGAGTTGTTACTCATTTAAATTACAACTACCTCTCAGTCATTCAGGACCTAATTACATTTTTTGTAAATCATATCAGCCTTCTTCTTTTTATTCTACACTTTGATTATTGGTAACTAGCATAACTAGCACAGGTACAGAAAGGAGGCAAAGATTAATTCAGTTCATTTTTCCACCTTTTTGTAACCTTGAAATTGGGTAGAAAGGTAAAGAAAGCTGGAACTGGTTTCTAAAATTGAATTAAAAAAAAAACCTTTTTATTACATAAGACACTCATGTCGTCTGAAGTGAAACTCACCGTTTTAGAGTTCTTAGCATCACGCATGAGCCTTTCTGCTGATTTTAAATCTTCCTGGACAGCATCTACCCCACAATTTCGTAAAGAGTTGAGATGATCTTGTACTTTCACACATATTCTGTCAATCATCTGCTCCACACCATGAAAATGACAGCAAGCATCCCAATGAGCACAGCCAATGTTCAGATAGAAGGAAACACAAAACGAATGAGAATGAAAACTTCTAACTGGAATCTTTGAGAAGGCAGTTATAGTTCCTTATTAATTTATCTATTCATATAAGGAATCTTTTGCAAGATTAACTCCAGAAAAACAGTCAAGAGATTTTGGTCCCCTTTCCCGCCTTAGGAAATGCATCATGTAGAACAAAAGTGCATACTTCTTGATGATTCAGAATCTCGTAGCTACTCAGTGTGACATTTTACTATCCTTCACTAATTTTTATTGAGTGCCTTCTAAGTGTCAGATAGAATGCTGGGCACTGAGGAAACAGAGAAGTAAAATATGCCATTCTGAGGCTACTGAGATGACTACAAAATGATGCCCACAGACAGTTGGTCTCAGTATCCTGGAAATCAAAACATCCCTGGAAATTAATATTTTTAAAATTAATTCAATTATATCAGGTAGTGTCTATATAAATTAAGAGTCACCAAAACATGCAAGTTAAGGTTTTATTACATTAACATAGGTAATAATAAAGCTAATAACATCTAGTTTTTATTTCATTAAGGTCCCTCTCCCAGGTTAATTACATGTGAATCATTTTAAGTTCTTCCATGGATTTAAACATAAAACCCAAAGGGAAATGGTAGATCACTATTGTAGACAAAAAATAGTACAATGGGTAAGATTATGCTTTTAAATTTGTATTCACAGAGAGAAGCATGAAGAAAACTAGGAAATGTGAAGAAGAAGGTAACCACAGTTTTAAAAGTTTCTCCAAAACTTTGATCAGAGCTGCAAGTTGTCTATTTCATGTTCTTAAACAATTATCAGTTCTCCAGAGACCTTACATATCAAGAGGCCCATCCTATCTGATCAGTTATTTGCAGAGGTGACAATCTAGCAATATTCTCTTTTATTTAAATTCACACTTCTCTATTTGTCTTGAGTTGTTTAGTTCAACAACTACGGGAAGCCAGAGTCAGCCCTCCTCCCCCTATAAATTCCACAATAGAAACTTTACCACACTGCTCAAGAGTTGAGGTCTAACTACCGAGCCCATGTCTGCAATATCACCGTGTCTCTTGCCTTTTTCTTTTATGAAATCAGGTTCATATCACCTACCCCATCTTCTTCTAGTGTGTAATAAAGACAGCCTAGTAAAATAAAACGACTCAAAAGCACTTATTCTCTTGACCAAAGGTCAGTAATGCCAATGTTAATATATATTAAGAACAGCTGCTATTACCATAAAATGTATTGAGGTTACATAAGTGAATTATGTGATTATGTGGAGCTTCTCATAAGAAAGAGAAGTTATAAGAATAGCCTTCTCATACATATTCTCCCTCTGATTAAAATCTAAGCTTCTGGCAGGGATCATGTCTTATCTTTCTGCATTTACACAATGCCCTGCAGGAACTAATTATATGTTTTTAAAAGTCTTCTTAATTGATATAAATTCTAACTTGTCTAACTATTGTACTGATCTGTGCTTTCTGAAGCAAAAATGGTCATCAATAATTCATATCTTACCAAGAATGAATACCTAATCTCAAA